TAAATGTATTTTTTTAAATAAAAGCATTATCATAAATTTGCAAAATCTTTCCTTTTGCATTCATTGTTTTTCTGCTTAAAATAGCCTCCAGATCAAAAGGTTCACTGAGTCCAACTGAAGTGGAAAAAAACCCAAAACATTTCACAGAAACGAGAKGTTTTTTTCAGCACACAGTCATCTTAGATTCAATTCAAGCTCCAAACTGGGGTGTTTTTCAGGCTCCACAATTACTTTGTTGCTCCAGAGGTGCCCCGGCGTAACGAGCTAAAGATCTGAGGTCGGACTCTGCCTGGGGGGACGATGGAGGCTGCGTGTGTGCTCCATGTTTCAAGGCAGGATGGACTCTTGGAAAATGACTCRTGTGGTTATCTCATCATGCTCCGAGAGAAACACAGAGGTCCAGTTAWGGCGCCGCACCTTGTTACAGACGGCAGAGAGAATCTGCTCACATCTCAAACAACAACTGGAAAACAAGAGCCACTCGAGACACTTTAAAGTTAAACCACATCTCTGCCTTTTTTTTTTAAAGGAGCTGAGGAATTGTTTTATGATTTATTAATAGTTTAATTGTAGATAATTGTTGTTTAATGAGGGCATTGCTGGTCGTTTAAATGAATAAAATTTTTAGTTTTGAGACTAATTTATGAATTCAAAGCTTGGTTTAACAAAAAAAAAGGCTTTAAAGCTGCAAGATGTGATTCTCATTAARACCATGTAGGTCAACAGTAGATTTAAATCTGATCCCATTAGAAAAAATAATCACTGCAAACAAATAAAACTACAACAGGAACTCACGTTTTGCCTCGGCCGAAGARATATCGACGCAGTACAAAAGCCAGGGAGGAGAGAACCATAATGGTGGTGCACATGGTTCCCAGAAGCCCCCCCACCACCCCCTCAGTCAGCCTGCTTACATCCTGCAACCAGCCCTGACTGCACAGAGGACCTGTATGAATTCTGTCCAACTGGATCAGGAACACAGAGGGATTAGTCAGTCCCAGATTATAGCAGATGAAATGCTGCTTTGCAAAAGACACCTACGATGATGTGCACGCTCCAGAGTTTTGCAGCCTAATCTCCTCTGAAGGAATAATCAGGCCGTTCTTCTGAACACATCAGATGTGCTTCTGTTGCTCTGACATCTTCACCCACTTCCCCATTTTTCTTTACTTTGGAGTCAATTTCATCCCAATTCAACATGGCTGCCACGGCTAATCGACATCAGCGAACACAAAATGGTTATAATTCAGATATTTACTCATAATTTAGTGATGATAGATAAGAGTCTCTACTAACTTTGAGCACTGACAAGTGTCAAGAGAACCTTGTTTTAAWCTTTGGCAAGTGAGCCAAATCGTAATAATGGATTAAAAAGCCGGAAGTACTGAAGTCTACCCACGGATTGGGACTGTATATATGCAGTTTATATTGTCATGAGTTCAACATACTGAAGCTGCTATTGCATTCTGTGATTGTTCCTGATTAGATAAGCCTGATCTAAAGCCACCTACATAAATGCATCTCATTACCTTAAAGCACCTACCTCTCTGCTYCACATACAAGAAAACATGAAAAAAAAATTAAGTTCGATCATAATCCTGTAAAAACTCCAGAAGTATATAAAGTATCTAACCAGTGTTCCACTAAACTTCAGTGGAACCAGTTAACTGGGTTAASTAAATTCAACTCTTCCTTCCTGATTAGTTGATGAGTGTAACTAGGTGTTAAATTTTAAAGTAAAGAAGTAAGAGTGTCATTTTTATGTTTTGAATATAACAAAATATAATTTACGATAAAAAAAAACATGGTAAAATGACAAATCCTCAAAAAATTCCTTTAGAACTGCAACAAAGTGAATGTAATTAGTTACTAAACCCCGCTGAAAAAATCATATTCATTATGCTGCTGCTGTTCCTGTGTGATAATTAAAATTGATCCATCAGAGGTGGCTTAATGTCGTGTCAGTGCGTGTTTACAATTAAAACTATCTCTGCAAGAAAGCATCAACGATCGCATCGATTTGAATTCAGTCTTTGTTTCAGTCTCKTTCATCAGAACAAATTAACATCTGACCTTCTGCACAAAGTTCTTGTTAGGTTTCAGATTTTAAAAAAWTCTGAATTTAAGAGACGTATACCTCTCAACATTAGAGCGTGTTAAATTCATTCATTAGGGTTAATATTAAYCTAATTGTGTCTTACTTGTAGGATCAGGTCAACTTGCTTTTTTGTTATTCTTAAACATGAAAGTGCTTGATGAGCATATCCCTCAAAAACAAAAAAGTCAAAGAAAACATCTTTGTATTTAAGAAGTGTAGAATAATGCACAATTTTACCCATTTTGTCACATAACAGGCATATTTTCTCTTRAACTTGGCTCAACCAAAGTGAAACAGGAAGTGACATCGGAAATTACATCAAAGGAACTCTGGTCTTTGTTTATTGAAACAATAACATTTGAACTCTGACTCTTCATCTCTCTGATAGAGACTCAAAATAATCTAAAGAATCATTAGATTTTTCTCTACAGTCTGTGTTTGTTATTTTAGCAATGATCTGTTTACTTGCAAACATCCCCCTTTGACATCACTTCCTGTTACTTCACACGCAAATATCTCAACAACTGTTCATCTCAAGCTGTGTGAATTTTCTTTCAATACGTTATTAATGTTTTATTGTTAAAAATGCATTCACATTCATTGCAAAAATTAGATGTGACAGGCACTTTAAGGAGCAGGGAAACAGTTTTTGCTTTTGCAACATTAACGCTGTTAAATCACTGAAGAGCTCACACAACATCTGGTGATGTTGTTTTTTGTGTCCAACAAGGTGAGCGTGACAGAAGTGATGCTGAAGATCTGYACCTTAACAAACCATTTCAATTAGTGGACAGAGAAAATGCCTCTCCAGCTCAGGAGAGCATTGAAGAATTCTGTTAGACTTAAGATATTGCCTTTTTCTTTTACTTTTGGGTCAACATAACACAGACCTTTAACCGGAAATTGATGCTAAGAGTCTTGTGGCGGACTGCTTAAGCACTTTGCATTTAATAGATGCCATATTTTAGATGCAGAGGAAGCAATAATCTGCAGCTTGTTTATATTCAGTTGTTAAATTTCAGATTTCACTGTGAAAGACAACAAACACCCCGGCAGCGACAAACGCACACCTCCATCCATCTTCTGACACTGAGGTTGTATTTCTTCCAGGCAGCAGGACGTGGAGATGGTCTGTTCCGGGTGTCTCTGCTCTGCTGCACGCTCGACACACAGATACAAGCCCACACGAGTGGCTGTGGGGAATGTCAAGTTGCAGCAATGTGTCCGCGCATCTCATCTGCAGCTTTGAGACAAGCTCATGACTCCTAATTGGAAAATTCTCCAGGCCTCCTCCTAAAACTTTACGCAGACAGAGCGCTGCGGTGTTGGGCGCAAGTCAAATCGTTTTTTGTGTTAATCCACACGTTTCCTGGCAAATTCTRTTAGACATTTATTTTCAACACTTTCTTACAATGTAAAACAATTTTCAGCTTCACATTCGTTAAACACATGGGGGGAGGGTGTGTGTGTGTGTGTGTTTCCAGCTGGCTTACAGTTGAACCGCTGACCGGCGACATCATGGAGCTACAGTGGGAGGATTTCTGGCCATGTGGCATGGCTATCAGGTCACATATGCAGAATACGAATGAGGGAGTCACAGAGAGCCGCTTCACCGATTCAACATCAGTGTGTGGTTCTGTGGAGAGGTTATGAACAAACAATGTCTTACCTGTTGTGGATAGCTCTTTGAACAACTTCAATTTGGAGGAAGTGTTTAATTAAAATCAGATTGAGCTAAAGGCTGGCCCCTAAAACAACTCAAACCTCGTGATTACATCATCAGTTTGGCATTAATTATATGGACATTTTATGGTTATTTGCAAAACTATTGGTGTAGTTTGGGCAGTGGCGGATCTAGGAATTTTCTGAGTAAGAGGCCATCAAGGGGCCACAATATTCATAGAGGGGCCAAGTATTTGTTCAACATCTTTGCACATAAATCTTTGGTTTGTTAAGGTGTAATAATTTCACTGGTCACATGTTCCAACAATTGTAACATAATGTAATGTTATTTAAAAAGCTTAAATTCTCTTTATAAATTTGACATGCATTTTACTGTACATGGATAAAATATCCTCAAGGTATGTAAGAAAATGAAGCCATTGTTTGCCAGTTGAAATATATTTTCTGCAATATTGTTCAAATMTTTTACAGAAGAAAAGAAGACTTCTGTAAGACTGATCCATTCAGGACTTTAGTGTTTGACTCATTAGTGCCTCTAGCGTTTGGGCATGGAACCGCACTCACCATCATTGCTCTCAAAGGACAGGGGCACTCAGGGGCCAATAAGATTTCAGCAGGGACCAATGCCCCTGTAGCCCCGCCTCTAGAACTACCCCTTAGTTTGGGGCATTTTGGCAGATATCTAACATTTTCTGGGGTTTAATWATGCTTTAAGACATTATCAGTCCACTTTGATGTTGTGGGTCCTTCAATTTTCAGGTGTCAGAATTTCTTTTTTTTTTCCCTCTGAACAGACGTTTATTATCCACCTCCTTCACGATACAGCATTTTCACTCAAAATAAACGGTGCCAAAACACCAATATGTCCAGTTATAAGTGGTGATGCAGAGTGGATTATTATCCTCTGCACAGTTTTTTAACTATACAGTCATTTTTTGTATTATTTTCCACAACTAACAACTAAATTCAAGGTAAAAAAAATTCTCAAAATAAGCRTCGTATCTGAAATGATCAGGATCAGACTGGTTTAACTGAGCTGATAATTTACAGAAGAACCAAACATCTTAAAGAACAAGTGAGTTAAAACCTGTAATGCTGTAACTGCTAAAACACATGRCCACAGGACTTTCAATTTTTTTCTTTTTTGGAACATCACTTTTCACATCAGCACTATGGTATCTCAGCACGGTTTCACTGCTGCTCCTTTGTCTTGCTTTCGTATTGCGTAAAAAAATACAAACAACCGCATGGATCAAACTGAATGTTCACCGACATCTATTGAAATAAAGCGAGAGAACAAAGTAAAGGATTCAAGTCAGTCAGTGGGATTGGCACCAAGAGAGTAATGAGGCATGGATCTCCCTTGTGGTGACACCAGAATCCCCATCTAATCCCAGCACACATGCTAATCCAGCATACAAATTATGGCAAAATACAATACAATGCAATACTGTACAGATTATGCTTCAATACTGATGAAAACCCGTCTGGTTAGTTCTAATGCTGCTTGTCTAATAAAAATTTGTTGCCTTTTTTTTTTTACAGCTATATCATTAATTTAATTTAGGTGTTTAACATTAAACAATAAGGCAGTTTATGGTATTGTACATAAGTCACTCTTCAGAGTAAAGAGAGAACCTCCATGTTTGGGTAACCTCCAGCCTCCTCGCTGTTTAAATGAAATGATGAAACACAGCCGCAGCGAGCTTCCTGGGTGTAAACAGGTCCGGTGTTGTTCTGCTGCTGCTACAGCGATCCTCAACGTGAGAGAATTAGTCCGAGCGGCAAAGTGGATCAAACAACCCCCCCCCCACCAAAAAAATAAAACAACATATCAAAACATCATCAACAAGGAGGAAATCACAACTGTACATTAAAAGGTAAAATCTAGAACCTTGACGGAGGTTTTCTTTTCATTCACCCCCTGCCTTTTTTCTTTGTGTTCCCTTAAAGTCCAAAGGTCCGAACTGTAGAGAAGAAAGGGCGTCACCGGGGCGGCCCAAAAGCAAATCTGCAGCAAACGGGAAACAGCTGCTGTCGTAAACTGTTAGTTGCTATCTGCCTTCGAATCGAAGCAGTCCAAGTACTCCAGGACGAGGTCGTAGCAAAATCGACAGAATTTGTCAGAATTTCTGATTTAAATA